AAATTAGACAGTACTGACTGTTGAGCGAAAATGTATTCCAGATCTGCGTAGGATTACCAGCTAGTCGTTTTGGCATGCACCCTGTGCTTCTCTGGGAAGGCATGTGTGCCACTCTCGTCTCCTGACCTCGGAGTGATCCCTTCCCAATGAATAATTGATGAGAACAGCGCCCAGATTACCCCTATCAATATGCAAAACACATTATAGGGGTAAAATGGGACTTTAATAGTTATGAATCGAGGAACCGTTCCTATCACGAGCAAATTGTAGTTACATTCTTACATCCACTCTATCTTCTTTTTTTTTTTAAACACAAACCAAATTCTCTTATCTCCAAAATGTTACACTTATTTCAAAAGTCCAGACATACAATAACAGGCAAACACATCAAAGTGGGTAGAACAAAAAATGATCTGTAATTTTTCAGATTGCTTGATTGATACCAATACACAGTTTACCATGGAATACCAACAAAATCTGCATGTAACACCTCTCTGCCTGTATTATTGTTTAACAAGAGAAAGTGTTACTATTCTTAATTTTTGGACATCTGCTATGAAGCCTATATGATGTTGTAAAACTGAAAGAATATCTCTGCAGGTATTCATTAAAATATAAGGACGACATATATTCCACAATCCACGCTAAATACATAGCTTCGCAAATACTAAATTCAACCGGTCCAACCTTGCACTTATTGGTTGAAAAATATGCAGCAACACATAATGATTTTTTTTTAAATCTTTTTTATCCGAGTCAAAATCCATCGAAGTTTACATATGTATTTTTATCATTGTAAATCTAACAAGTCAGCATTCTCTGACACTTACAAATCTTTGAACGAAATTGTAGCTACATTGGTTAAAATGCGTGATGCTTTTTTGAAAACAATTAATTAAATGACCATCTGTAGCCAAGGAAGAGACTTACTTGAGAACTACAAAGAAGACCTCTTATCGTTTCACATTCAGCAGAAATATTATGAAAATGATTGTTGACAGAAAACAGAGTCAGCATGGGATATTACGACTGTCCAGTTTGAGAAGGCTCCGCATGCTGCCCACAACCTTTAGAATCCCGCTGAAGCAGTTAAACAGTCAGTTGCATTCAAGAATGTGAATTATGTAGCACATTGTCAACCCCCCTAAAACCATAAAACTAACTTTATGGACCTCACGTGCCTTACCAAGAGCTACATGTTGGTGTTATGGACTGGACTTCAGAAGAAAATAGTTGGGGTAGATGATTTGTATGTTGTGTTTCATTCAAATAATGCAGATTGTTAAAACAACCTAAAGATCGTTTTGTTCATCCGCTTTGAGCACTGCGAGGTAAGTCGAGGGGTTGAGTTATTGTTGTGATGTGACACACAAGAGCTGAGTTTGAATATTGCCATATTATAAGCCATTTTATTCTGTAACGAGATACAGAGCGCAGCAAAAACTGAATGGACTATCCTTTGTTTTATTAGTCGTACGCACTATGACTCATTAACACATATAGCTTTCATTTAAGAGCAAAATAATTATTTAAAGTGTAAAATATAAATGCGATGTACTGGTGGGTAAAATGAGTTGCCGATGTAATGCATGGTCCAACGCTGGGATCACTCACCAAACAGGCCTACAGACAAACAGAGACTGTCATGTATATGACTGAGAGAAAACTTTATTTTTCTTTTTGGAACAATTCATTTTCAGTTTAGACACAAATACAAAAAATGGCAGAGATACCATCAACATGTCAATGACAAAACATTTTTCTCCAACTTTTAACACAGAACGTCCATAACTCACGTTGTGCACTACAAATAACACATTGGTCACTACTGTATAAAGACATTCTTCATAGGACATCTCACGAGCCCAAAGTAATCTTGTGCTGCAGCCTAAGTGCACAAATGTAAGTGCGAAAAGATCATTTTTCTCGCAGGTATCATCTACGAGAAATCAAAAAAGCCCGACACATAACAAGAATATAGCATGTTGCGTGAAGAATACATGACGTTTCAATACAAGTTCAAGGATACAACAAAAGTTTCTCTATTTTACACTATCATTTAAGATAGTTAGGTAGTGCGAGTTGTACTGTACATCGTTTTTGTAACAGGTCTAGAATACGTTGCACGAATAGCTCACATGGAACATGCTTTCCTCCACGAATGTATAAACTTGACACACTTGACATTCACACTCATTTAATGGCAATTGTAACTAGCTTAGCATATGTGATAACAATATTCAAAAGCTGACAATTTGGAGCTGCATGGGGGAATCACACGTCGTCAGGTGATATCAACAAGCTGAAAGGTGCAGCGCTGTAACAGTAGTCGAATTTCCCAATTATTATGAAATGATTTGATCAATTTTGAAATGCGCTCCCCGCCGTAGCTAGATTCATACTTTTCAGTTTATTGTCCTTCTTCCATTTCATCCTGCGATTTTGGAACCAGATTTTAATTTGCCTCTCTGAGAGGCAGAGAGCGTGCGCTATCTCTATTCTCCTCCTGCGCGTGAGATATCTATTGAAATGGAACTCTTTCTCCAGCTCGAGCGTCTGGTAGCGAGTGTAAGCTGTTCGAGCCCGTTTTCCATCAGGTCCAGTCATATCTGGCATAAGCAAGGGCAAAGAGACAATAAGCAAACATCACCAAGCCATCAAACCTAAATGTCTGTTACATTTTGGATGTTGGACTGCTGGTTGATTCTAGATTATATTCAAGGCGACGTGCAGTTTAGTAGCCTACCATTGCATTTTATGGCTTTACTGCTGCACAATAGTTCTACATGCAGTCACCTCCCAGAGAGTGGTTATTCTCTATTTAACCTATACTTAGGTGAAACTAACGGTCCGTCTAAGCATTACTGTTTTGTAAGACAAACATTAGCAGGCTATTAAACGAATATGGAAATCTGAAGAGCAAAACATGCATTTAATCCACGCATAACCTAAATTTACGTAAGAAACAATTATCATCAAAATAATTTAATTTTGATCATGCCTAAATAAGAGATCATAGAGATGTGTATACCATGGTTAATGTGCAGCTTCCTCATCCATGGGAATATCTGTGGAGTTTGACCGTCGTTAGGTGTTGTAGTCGAGCTCGCCACAGATTCTTGCTTCTGCGTACGTGTGGTGGTGGTGGTCTGTGCTCCATCCTCGGTCTCGGACGAGACATTGGTCTCGTCTGTGTCCGCAAAATGTGTGCTGTTGCTGCTGGTGAGATTGTTGCTGTTGGTGAGTCTGCTGTTGCCGGTTGGTGTGCTCTGATCAGATGGAGGAGAGGAACCCTTCAATTCCAGAGACTCGCTGGTGGCACAAGACAGGGGATCTGGAGACGAGAGCGAGCAGCTCGACTGTCTGTACCGGGTCTCCTGACCCGGATTTTGGAAAGCATGAGAATTATCTCCAACCGCTTCGAAATGGCCATTGTTGGGACGATTTACACTAAGGTCTATTCCATTGTAGTTGTAACCGAAAGACCCGGAATGCATGCTGGTGGAGTCCCTGTAAGAAGCGTTCATTGCGCCGTTAGTACCATAATTTAGTAACTGATAGTCAGACCCATTTGGACAGCGCCCTGAGAACGAGTTTAGAAAATAAGAGCTCATTTGGATGTTTTAAAATGTCTTGATTTGTAGATCTTGGTCGTTAAAATCCAGCGCCGCACAATTTATGATGTAATAATGAATTATAGCAATGCACTGTACTTCGTTTTTGCCATGTATGCGGCCAAATATGGGAGAGCGTTAGGGCATCACGTGCCTTTGTTGACCAGTCGTAAATTCTCTCTGATGACTTCAAGAGGTAATTCATGCTCTATGGTTACAAATGATGACGAAATGATGATCGTTAGGTTCAACTCAACGGTGCCTCCCCATCGCGCCGCATCCCACGTTAGCGGAGGGCGTCACCTACTGGGAGAACTGTAAAATGACCAAACACCTGCCCATTTCGTGAAGCCTTTTACTGCATAATTCGGCAACACTGTGCTTTCACTGCATAGAACTAAGTCGTATTTCCAAACAGATTTACGATCAATTAAGGCAAAGTGTGAATATTTCACATCGTTTGTAAATTTTTGGCTCTCAAAGCAATCTTGGGTGCGTCAGCGACTTCATTTAGTCATTCAATGAAATAAATATGTGTCTTATTAACATAGGCTAGGTTAGATATTAATCGCCAAACCAAGATGTAGATCTACAAAAAAATAAAATAAAACTGGCGAGATTATTATACAATCAAACTGGCCCGTTTTACCAGCAGCAAAGCTTCAAGGAGCAGTGAAGAGATGGAAATTATATATATATATATATATATATATATATATATATAGCCTAGCATATGTATATCAGATAAATTATTTTGTGTCTTGAAGAGTGCCTTACACCAACGCATATAGGCTGATTATGAAATGTCTCTGCCTCATTATACCAGAGAAGATGCCCATGTACACATAAAGAAAAATAAACCACATAAATTGTTAAACAATCATTTTATTGACAAAATGACATTGCTAACAAAGTATGATATTATTCTTGCTGCATTCACATACACAAAAACAAAAGTGACGACCCAATAAATTAAGCATCAAAATGTCCCATTTTCTCCTTTTTCTAGCACACAACGGACTGAAATACATATTCAATGTAAGACCTTTAATCCCAAAATGTTAAACTTCGAATTTATGTTTTCTTTCAAATTATAGGCATTAGAATGTTCAGCAAGAAAACATTTGTCTCATTAGTTTAGATCGGCCAAATACAGCAAAATATATAACAGTGGTAAAAGCACCCCCCATATCTTTTACCGTCTTTACAGAGGTTGATTCAGACGCCTGTTTTAATGAAAAAGAAAGTCTTCTCTTGAAGCTTTTTTTATGTCAACATAACACTTATTAGGGTAGCTTTTTTTCTTGTTGGACAGACCAGTACTTGTTAATTAAAACTACAGGCTACATGTTATGTACAGTGTTTCTAGGGCTGCTTTTTTATCATTTATCCCGCCTTTCCACCATCCTCCTCTTCGCTGACCTTTGCGGAGTTCAGCACTGTATTCTCCTTTTTCCATTTCATTCTACGGTTCTGGAACCATATCTTTATCTGTCGTTCCGTCAAACACAGAGCGTGCGATATTTCAATTCTTCGTCTTCTGGTCAAATATCTGTTAAAGTGGAACTCCTTTTCCAGTTCAAGAGTCTGGAACCGAGTGTAGGTTTGACGACCCCTGCGGCCAGTGCTGCCAGGCATTCCTGTCAAAAAAAAGTGGAAAAAGGACACACTAAATCAACATCCAGTAAACATACAAACAGGTCGATGTAAATAATAAAAGAACACCGCTACAATTACATCATTATGATTATTACGATTACTGTTATTACTGCAGTGACATCAGATTTGACATCTGCACTTTATCTACATGTGAGAGTGGAATCTTTTAAGAAATTATATTGATAAACGTCACTGAGATACACTCAGCTGAGTATCTCTAATATCTAATAAGAACGTGGAGGAATTTACGCATCGGGTTGCTTAAAAGCGCAATATTCAGGATGCATTGGCAATTTATTTTGCCTAGGTATCACTTTTTCTAAAGACTGCAGAATGTGATCATTATATATGTTTCCTCGTTTATGTGATGACAGAGTCGTAGTGAAAAGTCATGTAAATTACGCCCCTACTTCTATGACATGCAAAACAGCGAAATTGCAAACGGGTCTTACCATTACACGAGTTCATCCTCTGCATCCACGGGTAAACCGGGGTACACGCTTTGTCTTCACTGTTAAAATACCTCTCTGCACCCTGTTCAGTGCAGTCCGTCTTGCACTGGTCCTGGGTTAGGACCAGCGAGTCTTCCAGACCTCCGATAGCGCACGAGCGGTCCGCGGTTCGGTAAATGTTGGGTGTTGTGTAGTCACAAGCACTGGTGGACCCGCTTCTCCCCAAAACACCCCCAGCTTGCTGGTAATACGAGGAGGTGTAAACCTTGTCCTGGACATTGGTAGCTCCGAACGTAGCGCTTGGATAATGTCTTAAAGGATCTGTATATCCAGAGGAATATAGCGGTATCTGACCCAAGAAAGACTCCTGTCCTCCGGGTAGAGACACGGGAAAAGTTGAGTTGACGAAATAGGAACTCATGGGGTGGCCAGTGTTATTGTCCGAGTGTTATGATTTGTTGTGTTTTATAGTCCAAGTGGTTTTTGCCATTACTTTATCTGAGATTTGGTTTTAGCCGAAGGGGGGTGGCGAGGTGCCAATCTGAGACCGCGGGGAAACGGACCAGCTGATCAGTGCCTGACCAATCCTGAGCACTTCTGACTACAGGATAACGTGTAAGGTGGGGGCCCTCTTGTTGCACAGAATGGAATCCCCAGGGCATATCAAAACACTCAGACTGAAGTGTTTTTCTCCGTTTACCGAAAAGAAACGCACCCATATCTATATAAAATGCAATAATGTTAATAAATAGTTACTTTCTATAATATATACAGGCCTACTTTATATAATAATTCATTTTCCCTCCATATTTTCTAATTTTCTCAATCGAAATATGCTGTAAACCTCAAATATGTTTGCAACTGCACGTCATTTTTCAACCTTGTCTTCAAAAAAAAAAAAAAGTACCATTTCTCAAAAATTTTCAACATTTGTATGCAGACATCTAATTGGCTCAATTTAGGTGCACGAGAGAATTTCAGAGAAGCACAGACGGACTTTCACTCGAACTTATACTGACCTTTACCCTCTTTATCTATTAAATAATACCGTACGATACAGATATTTACACATACAGCGCACTCTCTTGCTAAAAAAATTAATACAAATAGCCTAATCAAAAAAAGAATCAAATTAGGCAGACAAAAACTACGCTATCTATCCATCTATCTATCTAGTTTACATAATGGCGTTCACGTTGTATATCGAATACAGTGCAATTTTCTGCAGAAGCGCAACAACTGTTTAGTGATATCAACATAAAAACCTGCTTCAGCAATACATTATCTAACCACGCTGGACATAAAAAACAAGCAATTTTCCTATATCAATAAAAAGAATGCATGCATTGCAAACAGACAAAAGAGAAATACAAACTCAACATTAATCCTTAAGATTCGCTAAAACATACACCAACGCCATCACGAACATTTAAAATGCAGCCCGGCCCATGTTGTTTTTGTTGTCCTCTTGTTTGAAATATACACCGTCACAGATATATAACACGATTATAGAACGGATTTACATTTTATTTATTTTTTTAAATGTCTAGTGTCAATGAAATACCAAATTAGTAATAACAAATAGGCTAAATGAATTAAACATTCTTTGAATTTAAATATTTAAGTAGCCCATAACAGTTAAGCTTTTAGTTAAGACAAAAGGAAACCTCTCAGAAAAAGCTAACCATTAATCACCATTCTGTTTTGTAAATGAATACAAATGGATCTTTAGAGGTATTATTGAATATCGATAGGCTGCAGCTACGTAAGTACACAATGACGTTATTGTTGTGAGTTTATGCCTTAGAAGGCTGAGACATCTTCATATTCTTAACACTGCAACGATTCTTTTGTCGTTAATAAATAATAATAATAATAATAAATGTCTGATTAAGTAAATGCTATGTATGATTTTAGTTTTTCCTTACTCTATAGCTGAATCCAAATAACTCGTTCTTTCTTTCCGTATCATATTGTATTGTATTATTAATATAATAACTGTTAATAAAGCTTATTAACAAGGATATCGCACAATTTCAGTGCAAGGTCAATAAGAGCAGAGAAAAATCAAATATTGTAAAAGAATTAAGATTAGCAAAGACCATTCAAAATGACACCCAGGCATTAACCATTCACAGACTGCATTTGTCGATGACTTGCCCATCGTAGACACACTCTGGCTTAACACATTATCTAGGGATGCTAGAGGTCTTTGAGTCAGCCAGATCACATGCAGAGAACACCCAAACACAGAATTTCACCACAGCTACCAAATCTCGTCACTAGATGACATCACAGAGCAAGAATTGAGAAAAGGTGTGCTTCTTCAGGGATTCACCAGAACAATTACCCCTGTTATTGTAATTCCAAATCAAACGTTATTCAGATTAAGAATAACCAAATTATCTATAAAAAAAAAATTAATAATAATAAAGGTGCTACTAAATATTGAATTTTTGCTTTCCCAAAACAATGACCCTCTGTTGATGCATTTGAGGCATAATCGTCCTCACAAATGTCAAAAACATGAACCCCTCACTGATTAACTGAAAATGTCATGGGTTTAAGCAAACATTATCCAAAATCCACCAGAGTAAAAAAAGAGAGAAATAACATCATCCAACTTTTTAATAAAAAAAATCCCTTAAAATGCAGAATGAATGTGCTGTAATGCAGATTCCAGAGATGAGCCGTGCCTTTGCCATTCAGAAACTAATGCTGATTTGAATACTCAAAGTTAATGTAAATATCATATAATCATTTGAATGCAGCGGCCATCTTGCAACTAACACTAATACATCTTGTAAATAATATAATACTTCCTTTTAAGCATATATATTTTCCGCATTTTCATTGTCAGCACACAATTAGGCCTATTTGCGAATCGATACACATCTTGTTCGATCTTTTTAAAGCCCCTGAAGTCTATACGTTCATGCGAGTTCTTATCTACTTGTCTAATCTAACTTGAATGTGTTTTTATTATATATTAACGCTTTGCATCATGCTATCGCTGGGATAAGTAGAGTAGGCTACAGAAGCCTATAGGTCCAGTCCTACCTTTTCCTTCCCCGTCCATCATCGCTTCACTGGAATGATCCCAACGTCGATTAACCAGGATCACGCGTCGTATTATTGGATGTACTGGTAAAACAGACATAGCTAAAACTTGACAAATTAGAGAAGAATGAACTAAGGTCCTCAGTGAATTTTGACCCTTGCACTCTTCGCTGATGTGAAAATCTAAAGACGCTTCGTACAAGGGTGACGTCGAGCTTTCCATCCATATTAACGCACGCAATTCGCCCAGCTCAGGAGAATTTGTCTTTCCCTCTGCTTTAACTAAACGTGAAAAACATAAAGGACAGAGGTGCTACTGACTGCGCCCTGACCAAAAGAATGCTGCATTATAGCCACTTGGGAAGCAAGGGTGACGTCGAGCTTTCCATCCATATTAACGCTCGCAATTCGCCCAGCTCAGGAGAATTTGTCTTTCCCTCTGCTTGAACTAAACGTGAAAAACATAAAGGACAGAGGTGCTACTGACTGCGCCCTGACCAAAAGAATGCTGCATTATAGCCACTTGGGAAATCATAAAAAGTTCATGTTCACAGAGAGCTGCTCACGTGACCTCTGTCAGCCAATCCACTGGCAGAACCACACATAAAGTTCTATCACAAAGTTGTAAATTTTCATAAACAGCTGTGAGTTTATTGCTTTGCTTCAGCAGCAACTCGGTCGCCGCCATCTTTATTCGTTAAAACGAGAAAAAAGCACGACTTCACTTCATTAACAGCCATAGAAATATAGGCTACTATTGCATTATTTTTTTACTCGATGAAGAAGTCTATTTCTAGAATTTTAGATTTCAATTTTAGACATGGTTCATAGTCAAGCTGTGCAAAGGTTTTGCTATGTTTAATTAAACACGTTTTAAAAATGTGTAATGTTATAAAAAGGATAACCATTTACAGGAATAGGCGCTCTTTGACCAATTTGTGGCTAAAACTGAAATAAACCAAATACCCTCAAATAAAAGAGCACCATTCCCTTTTTGTCAATAGTGTGCGTTCTTTTGTCAGGTGACTTTTAGAGAAAAATAGACAAATGGAACGCGAAAGCTTTTTACAGCACTAAACATCCGTGGAGGAAAGAATTGCTTCCTGTATCTACGAACAAACACTTATTTCCGACATTTATTGGGGCAATAAAACAGTATAACCCAAAAGCCACCGAGCATGGTCTGTGGGTTATACCCTCGAGAAGGACATGCTCTTGAAGCCCACCAGTGCATGTTGTCCAGAAAGGCCCTAAAAGCAGCATACGAGGTATACATTCAGAATTATTTCTATTTCTTAATAACTTAGTTGTTATCCTTTTGTTTTGTTTGTTTGTATCTAAATTAAAATAGAGTGTAATATACTGATAACCTTTTTTAACGTCGCGTCCACTCTATATTCGTTCAAGTTTTAATTCGTTTTTATTGGGATTCAACTCATCATACATTTGAATTTGTATAGAAAGCTACAGTTTTGATTAATAGACTGCTAAGTTTTTATTCATAATTATGCATTGTCCATTTAGTGTAACAAACGACGAACTGCAAAGTGTTTTTTCGTTATTATATTCTAAAACGTAATAATTAATAAGCATCATAAGCATCTTCATTTTATGTTTCGAAATTAGTCATTTCATTACACCCAGTCTACACACTTGCTTTACACAAATAAAAGAAGATGATAATCAGATGGAATAGATTGAGAATTATATGGAATATACACATAGCCCAATTGCTGTCATAAACGATTTTAAATGTACTCGTATTCGTTAACTGTAGGTATTGTAAATAGCTTAAATATTTTTATTTACAAATATTCTAAAGTCCTTTTTACATTAGCTATATAATCTTTCAAAAGTATTCTAGTCATTAAGAGCATTCAAATAATCTTGAACACGTAGCCTAAGTGAGACGCTGTAGAATTTGACAACAAGAGACTGTGGTATAATATCTTGGAATTTTTATTTTATTTTTCTATTCATTTAGGATTTCATTACAAACTGAAAGTTGTTGCTCACACGAGATTTTTTAGATTTTTAGATTATGATCTTGATAACCTCAGAAACGTGAAAAATAGGCAGCTTTTCATAATGGATTAAAACGTCAGAAAATATATGATAGAATTATAATATTTGGAATGGTACAGTTTTTGAAAAGTCTATAAACAATGTGTCGTGCTGATAGGGCCCACGCCCTCGCCCAGCCTAAAGAAAATGCTAACTTCTGCATAGCCCAGGCCTCATTATCCGTTTTATCATTTTTCTTAAAAATATATGGGCTTTTAAAAAAAAATTGTTTTCGAGATATCTTCATGCCCTGCTCATTAAAACAACAACGAAAGAAATACATGCATTTGAAAGCAT